CCTAGAGGCCACAAAAATAATATTTCTTGCAAATTTGTGAACGGCAATGTGCTATATATGAGGAACATTACCTGGGTAGCCCAGTTAATAGGTGTGGGGAGTTCTGTTAATAGGTTTGGCATTTACTAGGCTAGTGTACTCAAGTTAGTTTATCTTAGTTTTTTTTCATTCTTAAATTTTTATATGTGTGTGTGTGTAAAGCTTTCTTTCAGAAAAATAAAAGATAACAAAAGTAATGGAAGGCTGATTCACCATCCAAAAATCAATTAATATAAGTATACATAGTATATTATTCTAACTATGTGGCACTCTGGAAATGGCAAAATATATGGTTTAAAAAAACAGAAGATTGTGAGGAGTTAAATGTTAAAAGAGAGCCTGAACACATTGGGCAGGACTAGGATATTTCTTGGGGTGTTGTAATGGATTGATTATAAGAATGTGTTTGTGTCAAAATTGAAAGAACTTTACACCAAAAAAGTTAATTTTCCATGTGAATTACAGCTATATAAATAAAAGGGGAAAAACCCAAGAACATAGGTTATTCCCCAAAACATATGGTTTTAATAAAGAAAATGAAAAATCCTTGGCAAAAAACAGCTTACTTTTCATTGAACTCAAAATTGCAAAATTAGTATCATCTTCCTGATGAATATAAATGATGATTTTAAATATATGATTTTAACAAATAAGAGCCAAAATGAAATTTAAACTAAAATTCTGACTTTATATAGAATAAATATCAGTGAGAAGAGTAGCTGGTAACTAATAGGTGCTAAGTTAACATTGATAATAAAAGCATACTAACAACAATACATACTATCCGTATTTTCTCTTATCTTTTAAAATGGATTTTTTTAATATTTTTTTTAGATTTGTTTATTTATGCATACAAGAGCTGGGGTACATGCCAGAGGTGTGTACCAGGATTCACCAGAGACAGAGCGGGGGACAGAACAGGTAGATCTACTGAAATACACTGCTGAGGGGAGCAGTGGGCGAGACAGGAGAGGTCTGCTGCACCATGTGGGTAGTTCCCTGGCTGGCCAGGGATTGAACTCCTATCACAGTGGCTGTGGATAGCTTCATAGTGCTGAGACTTAACCCCTTGCGCCACCAGGGAGACCCAGATTGTTTTTTTAACCAACACAGTAGCTGCTAAAATTTTCTTATCCTGAACTTGTTGAAAAAATCATCTAAAATTAATACTATTTTTCTATTTGTTTTTTTTCCTAGCATTATTAAACTAATTTTTCCCATTCTTCAGCTTTGAAATGAACTTTCAATCTTAAAATTTCAAAGGCAAATGTAGAAATTGCCAGCCTTTGGCACAGCATGGAGAAACCCATAAGTAGGAAGGGCAGCAGGTGGCAAGAAGTGGGACCATTTCTATGGTTACAAATGTTCATGTCAGGCTAAAAATATAAAACAGGCTGTATTCCGATTCTGTACTGGTTAGACTAGTCATTCTCATGTTTAGATTCAGATACGACACATCAACGGAATTGCTTATTTGTTTTACCAATAACAGTGTGGGATTAGATTGAACCAGATTTTTAGTTTTTCAAACTGCCAGGGTAGACCATGAGATATAGTAGGAGTCATCCATCAGAGTCTCCCCTCCACCAGGACAGGGTATAATCCAGGTTTCCTTGCTGGGTCCATGTACTTCCACCAAAAGCTAAATGCCATGTTTGAGCACTTCAGAGTGGAACAGCCTGTACTGCTCTTGGAAAGAGTAGAAACATTGTGACATTGCAGCTTATCAGAAGTATTATAAAACTTGAAGTATTATATCCTAATCAAAACCCAAAATTTATTTTCACTAAGAATTGTCTTCCATGAGGCAGGCAAGAATGATAAAGGAGTTTCATTTATTATTTTACCCACAAAAAATCTTTTGATGCAAAAAGCATCAATATGGTTTTCATAATTACAACTCCAAATTTTTGAAGGTTTAATTTTCATGACTTTGTCTAAAAGATTTAGCACCAAGGAGATGTTAATGCTTTTATTAGGCTTTCAGAGTTTATTAGTGGGCATCATAATGCTAAAAGAAAAACAAGCAAACAAAAAATATTTTTGTTAAAACTGACAAATATGTACTTTATTCTCATGTGAATTTGACCTAGTAGTGAAAGACTATTACTGAAATTTCCTTGTTTTTAGCTATTCTCAGACAAGAGACAACTCCTGAACCAAAATCCTGAAAGTACTTTGCCCTTAGTGGAGAATTCAAACAGGTTATTTTGGGCCACAGTAGGAAGGAGTAAAGGAACATACATGTCAGGTACACTATGGAATGAACTGTCAGCTGTCAGAATTGATTCATTGATCTCTACTTAGTAATTGAACCAAGATCATTTTCAGTCTTGGTCTCAAGAAGTGCACTACCCCATCAGCTTGAAGGAGACATGCAGTACATTAATTGGAGGATAACATTAAGATTTCAGAAGACACCTGGAGGTTATTTTAAAAAGATATCTGTTCATGCTTATGTGTGATGCTGGTTCCTGCAAGACTGTGCTCCAATAATTTCCAAAGAGAATTAGATGGCATATGGAAAAAAGAATGGTAATGCACCCTGTTAGAGGTTATAATTAGAAGTCAGTTCAGGATGAAGGTGTGGCCCCATTTGGTTCATCTACATCAGAATCATTGTCAATTTTACATAAAATTTCCTTATTTCTCATTGTATTGGTAGAGAACTTGCTTCCATCTTTGTATTTTAATCTTCTTTGAGAATGTATGGAGAATCCACAAATTCACAGTTGATCTTTAGTGCAAGGTTGTCAAATGATTGGAGGTCTTTTGAACACCAAGATCTCTTTCCTTCAAGTACTTAGGCATGTTTCTTTCAGGCTGTCTTCACAGGCAAGACTTCCTTGGTGCAACCGTCTGGGTTAGGAGTTACTCTTGGTGGCATTATAATGCCTTGTGTGTGTGTGTGTTTATATTGCTTTTCATATAAGGATGCTTTATGTATCTGATTTTGCAGTGAGTGAGCACCATTTTATACCCAACACTGAATTAAAGCCTGAGAAAGAACTTAATTGTTTGAATTACTAAATGAATTATGTAAAACTGAATGAATAAAAATTAGTCTTTAAAGTAAAAATTGATACTTATTTTTTCAGTTACAGACATTGTTAACACCTCATATGTTATATATGTACATATTGATTTTTTTATAGGTCAGCACAGGACATACATTTTTTAAAAGAATTATTTATTTATGCATACAAGAACTGGGGTACAGGCCAGAGGTACAGGGGGTGAGAGGATTCACCAGAGACAGAGTGGAGAACAGAACAAGCAGACTGACTGAAATACACTGTTGAGGGGAGCAGTGCAAGACAGAAGAGGTCTTTTGTGCCATGTGGGTAGCTCCCTGGCCAGCTGGGAATCAAACTAGTGCTTCAGAGGCTTTGGATAGCTTCATAGTGTGGTGCTTAACCCCTTGCGCCACCAGGGAGGCCCAGGAAATACATTTTGATAGATGATGGGTAGACATTTATTTTTGATATGTTCCGAGCAGCATATATTTATTTTTCATCAAACTATATTCCACACTTCATTGAGAATACAGATATAGAATTATTATAATAGCTTGCAGGATTTGCTTTAGGTCTGTAGTTCCCATATTCAGAATCTCTGAATCCCATATTCAGAATCTGTTTTAAATTTATGTGATATTTATATCAACAGAAACCATAGTAATGAACTCTCCAGGATTAGGGTTCAGGGAAACCGTGGAGCATTTTGAGAAGATCATGAGCTTTGGAACCAATAACTACAGTTTTAAACTTCAGTTCTACAGTTACTAGATTCATGATCTTCAGTAGATAAATTCTTAACCTCTTCTAGTTGCATTCTCTGTGTAAGGCGGGCATTGCTTAAAAACATTTTATGAATTTTAGCAAATGCAAGAAAAGAATATAAGACAGATAAATTTATGAAAAATAAAGCAAGCATACATGAACATAACTAATTAACTCACTCCCCAAAGGGCAATGCTCTTCATCAATAGCTACTTTATGCCTCTGTCTACACAACAAACAGATTTTTTTTCAGTTCTGTAAATACATCAGGCCATTTTCATACCCAATGACTTCCACATGTTATTATTTTTGCCTCAAGGTATCCCCTGCACACACGTAAACATCAACACAAACATGTAAATATCTTTCTGCACATTAGATTTCTTTCCATATTATTGGCCTAACATGTCACTTCTCTAGAAAACTACATTCCTGACCATGCTATTATTCCTTTTTATGTCAGTATCTTATTTTTGTAGAATTTCAGGCCATTTATGAATATAAGCATATTTATTTGGTTGGTCAATATCTGGCTCTCAACTAGAAGTTTCATGAGGGCAGGAATTATATGTCTGTCCTGCTTACCACTGAATACCTGATCTCAGCAGGTGTTCAGAAAGCAGAACTCCGTAATTAATGGTTAAATCACTAGATGAACACTGGAATGATCATTATAGATATTTTTTAGACTTATAAAAAAATATTTATTAGGTCGATTTAATTGTCTGTCCCATGAGCCTCCATTCATACATTTAAGAGAGGGTAAGATATGGAAAGACGGGCTCTGTTCAGTAATTGTAATTTGATTTTAGTTATAAATTAAAGTTTATTTTACTGCTTAAAATCCTAACTGGTTAGATTTATCCAAAGACAAACCATTGTTCTCCTAATTTCCTAAATGATCTTAAATATCAGTGTCTCTTTTTTTAAAGATTGTGTTTAGGAATGGTGAAAATTCTAACTGGAAAAGGAACTGTTGATTTTCTCAGAACTTTTTGACAAAATTCTCAAACACATTCCCTGACAATATGTAAATAAAAACAAACTCAGTTAGTTCTAAATCCTAGGTGGGGTTTGTCAAGAGTAATTTCCTAAAACAAGCATGGCAAAAATTAAATGTTGTGTCAATTTCTGCTGATTATTTCTTAATAATTAAAACTCACCATTTTGTTTCTGCAGGCATGAATGTAAGTAAGAGTGAAATAGCAAAAGAAACTTCATTAAAACCGTCTCGCAGATCCCTGCCTTGCCTCACTCAGAGCTATGCTTACTCAAAGAGCTTGAGCCAATCTACCTCACTCTTTCAGTCAATTGAGAGTGACTCTCAAGCTCCCACTTCTGTAACCTCTATTTCTGCTGACAAAACAGAGCAAGGTGAGCAGCTTTTCCTCTTCTTCAACTTATAAAAAATGTTCTCAAACTATTTCGTACTTCATGTATTTCACTAGTAATCATAGAGTTCTTTAGGAAAGAGATTGGCACAGGGAGAACGGTCCCCTTTTCCACCCCTATGACAAGTTTACTTGCTAGCCAGATGTGTTTGCATTTCTCCCTTGCTTTGCAGGTAGCCAGCCTCTTGAGAACCTAGACAAGATGCTTGCTTGTTAGCAATGGAAAACAGACAAGCTACCTGAACTGCTGACTTACTATTTTTGGAGAGAACTTGTAACCAGTAATTGAGTTGACTGTCAGAAATAATAAATTTCAGTTTCCTAAAGTTAAAGGCAAAAACTTTAAATATTACAAACAGTAAAGCAATAAAGATTTGACAGCACAAATATGTGGTTGAACAAGGACTGACAACCAGATGTTGGCACTTTTTAACACAGGACTGAGATAGAGGAAAGAGCTGGTTAGATGCAGCTTTGAAGAGACTTTGTGGCTGTCCTTGGGCATCTTGTATTCTTGTCTATCCATCTGTCTGTCCATTATGCCTTTTAATAATCCCTTTTCACAACAGTTAGGATTCAAAATACAGCCAGGTCCTTTGTCATGCTGTTGATGGGTGTACTTTTATGCTCCCATCCTTATTCTAAGAAGCTTTTGGCTTGTGAGAATAGCAGGCTCTTATAATGCCTTGTACTGTGTCTTCCTCAAGATAATGTAAAAATACCAAGATAATATTTTCAATAATATTGTAAAATCATTGCCCATTGTAACTAGTTAGCTTACATCCATGTCCAATAAGGAAAGTAGCGAATTGTTTAAGAGAATGAAGGTATTAAAATATAATGCTGATGAATTAGTCATTGAGTGAAAATTTAAGTAACCAATTTCAACACATTAAATTAAAAAATCTCATGTTTGGTCTAAATTTGCACATAATTCACCATGTTTATTTTATCTGTTGCTGCATATTTTTCCCAACACCATGCAATGTGTCATTTATTTATTTGCTAATTTATTTTCCAGCTAACACCAAGGAGAATAAAAACGATACTGTGCTCAAATGTTCTTTTGCTGACCTCAGTGATTTTTGCTTGGGTAAGTTGACTTCTATTATTCTTCCTCCTTTTCCCTTTTCCAAAAGTAAATTGTCTTCAAACCAAGAATATTATTTTTTTAAGGAAAAAATTCATTGTTTTTCTTTAAAATTTGATAGTTGAATATAATATTCTGAGGCTGAAAATCATTAAAATATTTTGTGTATAGCTTGAAATTCAACTAGTTTGAGAAGATATGAAATGAGCAATAATCTTGTCGGTGAAAAAAATTAACAATTTCTGCTGTTAATCTTTTGGAAATGTCTTTTAATTCTCTGTGAATAAATACAATTATATTACTATGTTAAGATTTTTCAAATTTTAACAGTATCTATCCATGTCCTGTAAGCTACATGAAGATTTAGCTCATTTGCATAGCCTTTCATTATTTCATGGTTCTATTGACATTTTAAATTTCAAACCTGTCTGCTGATTAAATTTTGCACCTTTGTTATGTTCTATCACATTTCAGCAATATCGTCATTCCTCACTTGACAAATTTATCATAACTATGAAAATAATGCTTTTTGCAGGTGTAGTTAGTACTTCTGATCTACAGCTCCAGATTGCTCTGGCCTTTATACCACTCTTGAATATTCCTGTGGTCACGGATCCTCTTTCTAATCCTCTATCATGTGTTCACAGTCATACCTCTTTATGCTAACATCATTGTTTGTATGACAAACTTCTATTAATTTTACTTTCTGATGTTTGCCAAATTTCTTAAAAATAACCCTCCTTCTAGCCCAGAAATAAAGTCACAATTATATGGACAACTAATCTTTGACAAAGGAGCAAAGAATATGCAATGAAACATGGACAGTTTGTTCAATAAATGGTGCTGGGAAAACTGGATCACCACATGCAAAAAAATGAAACTAGACCACTGCCTCTCACCATGCACAAAAATCAACTCAAAATGGATTAAAGAACTGGACATAAGACCTGAAACCATAAAATACATAGAAGAAAATATAGGTAAAACACTGCAAGACATACAGCTCAGTTACATCCGTTAAGACTCATCACCCAAAGCAAAGAAAATCAAGGAAAAGAGATAAACACCTGGGATTACATCAAACTGAAAAGCTTCTGTACAGCCAAAGAGACATTAACCAAAATAGAGAGACACCTCACTGACTGGGAAAAAAAATTTGCACTCCATACAACTGATAAGGGACTGCTTACAAAGATAGACAAAGAACTCACACCACTCAACAAAAACAAAGTAAATAATCCAGTCAAGAAATGAGCAGAAGAACTTAAAGACATTTCTCCAAAGAAGAAATACAAATGGCCAACAGGCATATGAAAAAATGTTCAACATCCCTTCTAATCAGGGAAATGCAAATCAAAACCACACTGAGATACCACCTTACACCAGTAAGAATGGCACATATTAAAAAAACAAGCAACAAATGTTGGCGAAGATGTGTTGAAAAAAGGAACTCTCCTACATTGCTGGTGGGAGTGCAAACTGGTCCAACCACTCTAGAAAGCTGTCTGGAGGCTCCTCAGTCTGCTAAAAATGGAGCTGCCATATGACCTGGCAACTCCACTCCCAGAGATCTACCCCAAGGACACAAAAACATTGATCCAAAAGACCATCTGTACCCCAATGTTTATTGCAGCACTATTTACAATAGCAAAACCTGGATACAGGGCCTCCCTGGTGGCACAAGGGGTTAAGCACTGCACTATGAAGCAATCTGCAGCCTCTGCATCACGAGTTTCATCCCCAGCTGGCTAGGGAGCAAGCCACAGGGCTCAGCAGACCTCTCCTCACTTGCCTGCTGCTCCCCTCAGCAGTATACTTTGGTCAGTCCACCTGTTCTGTTCCCCACTCTGTCTCTGGTGAATCATCTCACGCCCCACATCTCTGGCCTGTACCCCAGCTCTTGCATGCATAAATAAATAAATCTTAAAAAAAAAAAAAAACCTGGAAACAACCCAGATGCCCAAAAATAGATGCCTGGATCAAAAAGATGTGGTATAGGACCTCCCTGGTGGCTCAGGTGGCTGAGCGCAGTGCTCTGAAGCTGTCCGCAGCCTCTGCAGTGCTGGTTCGATCCCCACCGGCCATGGAGATACCCACATGGCGAGCAGACCTCTCCTGTCTCACCCGCTGCTCCCCTCAGCAGTGTATTTCAGTCATCTGCCTGTTCTGTTCATCTGCTCTGTCTTTGGTGGGTCCTCTCACCCTCCCACATATCTGGCCTATTCTTGTATAAATAAATAAATATTTTAAAAGTTAAAAAAAAAATTAAAAAGTTGATTCCTGTATTAAAAAAAAAAAAAGATGTGGTATATACACACAATGGAATATTAGTCAGCAATCAAAAAGATAAACTCATACCATTCACAGCAACGTGGATGGAGCGAGAAGAAAGTATGCTCAGTGAAACAAGCCAGAAGGAAAAAGAAAATACGGATGGTTTCACTTATAGCAGGAATATAGGGGAACCAAATAAGACATCAGTGTAAAAAAATAATAACAATACAAAACACAACAAAGCAAAAACACAATTATAAATCAGAGACATACTGCAGGGGAGGAGGAGGGAGAGGGCTCAGAGGGAGGGAGGGAAGAGCACAGGGGACTGTGGCAATGGTACACTTGTTCCTTGGTGAAAGAAACTATGGGGACTACCCCTGAGGGGGTGGAGGGAAGCAAATATTGTTTAAAAATGAGCAATGATGTAAAAAATTAAAAAAAATTAAAATTAAAAAAAGCCCTCTTTCTAAATAGTCCCATGATGTTACAGTTTCCTGATTTTATATCCCTCATCTCTTTCTTGTACCTTAAGAAAATATAGGTGACTTTTCATTGAGTTAAGGGATTATTCTAGCTTCTTATGTCCTCTTTCTTAGTTTTCATTCTCATTTTTTTCAGAGTTCATCTGTAAGCACCTATCTCTTAAGGTTGATGTAAGCTGTAAACTTTATAACTATTATGTATCTGAAATGACTTCAGTTCATTCTTATAATTGATTTATAATATTCTTCGTTAAAATATCTACTTTACAATCATATGTTTAAAATCATGTCGCATTCAGTTGAGGTGTGTATTTCAATTTATCCCATTCTAAACATAGTTTGCCCTTTCAGTTTGTTTCATGCCTCCTTTCTACTTCTGTGTCATTCCCCTCAGAATGTATGCAGTTTTGTTACTTCCTTTTTTTCTGGACGTCCAAGAAAAAGTTAGACATTTTCTTTCATCTCCTGATTTTGCATTCTGTCTCAGTTCTGAAACATTCCTTGAATTTTTCTTCTAAAGATTTTTCATTTGCCCATCTGTGTGTTTGCAGGGAAGGGTATAATCATATTTAATTTACAAGACTCTGTTCTCAGAATGTAACTCTTTTCAGAGCATCCTGTCTTATTTCTAATCTTGTAAGAAGAACAGTGAGCAACCTTAGGGCCAGTGAGTGGTGCTTGTAGTCAAGCTGGATGGTGGAAGGCAGAGCTTTCCAGAACCACCCCGATCTCCTGGGTAACTGATGGGGAATAGGGGAAGGCTTGAGACCGGCAATTAAAAGCTACTGAGGCTTAGCAGTTAAATGGCTGTCAAGGAGGGGTGTCCATGGAGAATCTACCATTTATATTACAATGATGACAGGAATTTGCATCATTAGTTATAAGATAAAAAAGAAAACTACAGTGCAGAATTATGTTGTATAATTTCAGGAAAAAATATAATCAGAAAAATAAATATACCTACATTCCTAAAAATAAATGGAAAGTTAGAACTGTAAATTAGTGTCAGATTTTCCAAAATAATAAGAACAGTTTTTCTTTTTAAAAATTTAGTTATGTAATAATGATAAAACTGTAGTAGAATCTGTAGTAAATTAAAAATAAGTGTTAAAAAGTTAGAAAATAGGCCATAGGATAATTTTGGATAAATTCAGGGAAAAAGCATTCTCTAAATGCATAGAGAGGCCTACCCTGATGACGCAGGCAGTTGGGCTCAGAGCTGTGAAGCTGTCTGCAGCCTCTGCAGTGCCGGTTCAATCCCCTCCGGCTTCGGAGCAACCTGCATGGCACAGCAGACCTCTCCTGTCTTGCCTGCTTCTGCCCTCAGCAGTTGTATTTCAGTCAATCTGCCTGTTCTGTTCTCCACTCTGTCTCTGGTGAATCCTCTCACCCTCCTGCACATCTGGCTTGTGTGCATGAATAAATAAATCTTTTAAAAAATAAATAAATGTGTAGATAATGTTAACATAATTCACAATTAATTACATCCTAAAACACCATAGGACTTTTTCAGTCTTAATTTATGCCCCTGCTGAGACCTAATACTACTAGCTACAGATGTGTAACATCTTATAACAGATTTTAAGCATTACTAATAAAAGAAATTGTCTATTATAAACAAATTTATTATTTATTTTGTTAAAATACTAAGTCAAGTGAACTCTTAAAAGCACTATATATAGTTGCCTATGTCAGAGCTTGTATTTGATAGGTGTTAACAGATTGAATAACTTCTAAAATATCTTGATTTATTTGAAAAGGCTAAATATATAGGAATCAGTCTTTAAATTTGAAGAGATATTTATATCACATGGAATGTGAATTTTTTGAAATATGTCAACAGTTCTTGAGTATTTTAACAGCCAGCACAGAGAGTCCTTATTCTGTGTTCTTTTATAATGTTTCTAGGTTATTCATTATTCATATATATTCTTGTGTTATTGACATTACAGTATTACCACTTTTGTCATTCCAGAGGTAATTATAATTTTGTTTTTGCAGTTACAATTTTATGTCAGTTTCCTTTTGTTCTTTATATTTCTTGTAATGTTTGGTAGTATTTCTGCTATGGGTTATCAGACTTCTTCAGTCTATAGAAACTTCTAGCTTATAAAAAAATAAATTTTTAAAATTAATGCAGCTTTTAATTGAGCAAATAAATGCTTGGGAATCCATTGAATTGTCACAAATACCTTTATTTTCAAGTTATAGAGGTGATATATCCAGTACATTTTGTATAATTCTAATTTTATTTTTGAAAAGTGTAAGTGCATTAAATAGCAAGGATGCATTTAGTTATTATGAAAGTTACTCTAATACTGGCATTTATACAATTGCATGCACGTTTTCATGTGAAATACTTTTTTTTTTTTGTATTTTTTGAGTGAATGGGTCATATGGAAATTGTTGTTGACTCTATCTTGGAAAATATGCTAAAAGAGAATCTGTATATCTAAAGAAAGAGAGAGAAAAGCAAGAAGGATACAAATAGATGTAAATGTTCCTTTCTTTTTTCTAGCTCTAGGGAAAGAGAAGGATTACATGGATGAATCAGAACACGCTCATTATGACAGATCTCGGCTCATTAAAGACTTTGTTCCCAAAGATAATACTGAATCCAAGACAAGATTGTCTAAGGTAATGCAAACGAAACTCTAAATGAGTCATTTGAAGACCATAGCTTTTTAAACCTTTCAGTCCTTTTTAATATTGATCTGCAGTGTGCTGGAAAGTATAAAAGGTCACACAGGTTAGTATGCACCTTACAATACTCAAAAGTATAAAGTATGGAAAGATATATTCATTTATCTTTCAAACGGAGTTACAAAAATCTGAAAAATAAAATTATTCAGTAATATTTTCTTTATGGGTTTACCTCTTAATTTCCATGGATTTTGAAAGGCTGAATGGTTTCGTAAGTACATGTGTTTTACTCATGAGCCAATACTTGAATTGTTTCTCTACTTACTAGGTGTGACAACCTGAATAGATTAGTTAAATAAACTAAAAAAAAATCAAAATCATGTTTCTACTTGACAAAATTCTTTTATAATTACATGAGAAGGCCATATGAAAGTGTCTGGCTTTCTATACGACAGGTTTTTATAACAATTTGGAGGTTAAGAATACTTCACAACTGTATTTCATCAAGGTATGGATGATTGGCCTAGAATTCCATTTTTAAAACTTCTGGTTCCAGCAATCCCACCATCCTTCAAACAAAATGATTTTGTAAACTTTTCAAAGCTGTGGATGTGGTATCATTCAACATCAAATACCTTTTGATACTTTCTATTAAGAACTGACTCAGTTCAAGTTCACATTTTTTCTTTCATTGTTTTCTATATTTTAAAGTGTGGATGTCTTTGTAAAGGAAATTTAGATATTAAATTCAGTTTAACACAAGGAATGACTCTGCTTTTAGTTGTCACTGCCTGGCTAGTAATCTCTCCCTTGCATATCTATTTCTTTGTGATACTTGATTTTATGTGGCATAATTCATTTTGCAAATCCCTTTATTAGATACTATCAAGGTAGTGGGGAAGAAACAAGGAACATTTTAAATGTTATTATCATCACTGAGACCAAACTATATTATAGAAAAAGAAATTTGTTGGTAGAAAATTTTTTCATTCCTCTTTGCTTTTGTTTTAGTAGAGGGAGTGTGTATCTGTCACTATTTCTTTCCAAAGATTTTTAGATTTTCTTTACAAATAAGAGATTTATTGTTCCATGTTCACCTGTCTCTCTGTTTGATTGACATTTGTATGATTAGTCTCTTGTATCTGTAAAGTGGTATTCCAAGAAGCCTGAGAAAAAAAGAGAAGTTACAAGAAAAAATTTAAAAAGCAGATGTTTTACCTTGTAATATAGCCTCATCGGAAGACAGATACAATATACTCTAAAATAATTAGAAAATGAACTAACATTGAATAAAATCTCTATCATCTGCTTCTCTGTAATATTTACCACATACCTCCAAAGATACTGTCACTTCATGTCTACTCAAAAATAGACATTTCCCAAATCTCACTAGACTAGATTTCTTTTTATTTAAATGATATGTGTATATTTGTATGTTATTATATATGTATTTTTTTAGTTGGGTCTTTTGAATTAGCAATATTTTGCATTTGTGACCTACAAAATAGCAAACACACACAGAGGACTGAAATCTTGAAACTCTGCACTTCGCCCAATATTTTCTTGGGATAATTATATTAGTTGCAACCTACCTGTGCATGTTATGCAATGTAACTGATATTTAGGTTTTTTGAAATTGTTACTTCATTGCAAAGAGAACGTTTTAGATAATGCAAAGCAAATTTGTGAAAAGTCAACAGGAAAGGAGCACCAACTCAAGGGAAAGTGACTACTAATATGAACTGCTTGTGAGTAATAACCAATACTGGATTACAGGAAAAAAAAATGAGCTTTTGAACAATATCTGTCATTAGCTTTAAAGTTGTTCAAAGGAAATAACTCTAAACCCTCCATGGTAGTGTCTCACATTGAATTTATGTGGAAAATCTGTTGAGCTTGTCAACTCTAAAAACAAACAAATTTAGAAATCCTTCTGACTAGTTTTCTGACCTTTGTGTGGAAGATTCCACATCTATGTGAGAATTCGGTTTGTCCAAACATTTCCTGAATGACCTCGTATGAGAGCTGTGAAATTTTATTGTGCCCACTGCTTATGATAATATAGTAAGCTAAGTATATTTGTAAAGCATTTTAGTTTATTTTAGAATTAATCTTCAGAATAATGAATTGTATCTTTAGAATAGTTTGCTTCAAATCTTGAACTTTCAGCATGTGTCATTTTTACCAACGTTCTTTGATATTTTAGAAATTAAAATTGTGATACTGATATTTAATAGGATGGAGTAATATTGATGAAATAATGGAGTGTATTATTTATTTATTTGATGTTGCTGTGTGCCATTGTAGGGGAGAGAAATATTATAGATAGGATTTTCTGTAAGGTTGCAGTTCATCAGGTGAATATAAATGGAGAAAGTTCAGAGGTTCTAGAAGTTAGAAAAAACAGTAACATACCACACCCACAATAAAAATCCATAGTCCACCACCATAGTCAATTGTGCATCCTCCCCTCTTTGTTTTTGCCCTTTCCCCTTCCCCTCACCTTTTGGATATCTCAGTTCTATAATCAGCTTTCCAGTGTTAGTTCTTAGTTTGGGTTTCTCTGACCCTTTGTTTGGTTTCTTTATATCCTACATATAAGTGACACCATCTGGTATTTGTCTTTATGCTTCTAACTCATTTCACTTATCATAATCTCCTCCAGCTCCATCCATGTTGCCACAAATGGCAAGTGTTATCCTTTTTGATAGCTGAGTAGTATTCCATTGTGTATATATATATATATATATATATATATATCACATCGTCTTGACTCATCCATCTGTTGTTTGGCTCTTTGTTTCCGTAGCTTGGCTATTGTAAATAATGTGGCAGTGAACATGAGAGTTCTTGTTGCCTTTTGCATTACTGTTTTGTATTCTTTGCGTAGATGCCTAGGAATGAAATTTCTGGGTCTGGTGGGAGAACCATTTTTAATTTTTCAAGAAACCTCTGTACTGTTTGCCATAAGAGCTGGACCAGTCTACATTTCCACCAAGAGCGTAGAAAGGTTCCTTTTTCTTCACATCCTCGCTAGCATTTGTTGTTGCTGGTCTTTTTAATATGGGTCATTCTTAAAGAATAACTGATTTTTAAGGGAAGTTTATTTTCTTTTTAACATTTTGACAAAAGAACTCTTAGCACTTGCATTTCTGAAAATAAATGTCATATTCAAGGAATAACTTCATAAGTTCATAGTCTGGAATACCTGGACTTACTATAAGTAATTTTAACAGCAAATGAGAGGTATCGTTTTATTTATTTATTTATTTATTTATTTTGGAAAATACTCTGTTTCCTGTTTTACTAGTATAGAAACCACTGTGAATAACACTTGAAATATATAGTCTATTAGTCAATTGGAGGATCTTCCAAGACAAAATCCCTATCTCCATCAAAAAACAATGATATACTAGCTGATACTGCTATATATGAATAATTTATAAGGATAGGTTAGACTGTAGAGTTGATGTGGACTGTAGAATTAACAGTCTATAGTTAACCTAGGTTAAATGGAACAAACCTGTCAAGGAAAATTTGTGGTTTCTATAGTAGACATTAATGAAGAGTTTATTGCTGCCACTGTCCCTCAGGATTCCAAAAATAACTACAGCTGTTGCCAATAATGAGTCTGGGAATATGAATTGACCTTTCAAATCATGGTGATTTCTTCTCTTAAAGGATTTTGGATACCAGATTAGGCAGAAAGAGGTTATGAACCAGGAAAACCTTGACATGAATATTTCAACAGTTCATTAAATTTAAATCACAAGGCCATTCAATTTGACTGTGTTAACTGGCATTGGCAGATGGTGCTCATCTTTAACTCAAATTGGAAAAGGAATAATAATCTCTTAAGATTGGATACACTAATCATATGGTGGAGAAGGGAGAGGGAGATGGCCTCTGCAATCTTCTACAATAGACCTTTTACAGAAAAAGTGTGTTGGCATTGGCAACTATTTTACTTGCCTCAATAACTCTTTGCCTACATATCATGTACAGAGATTCTGAACTTGCATACTTTTCCCCACAACAATTGTGAGATAATGTCGTAAACTCTTAGCAGGTGACCAAGGGGTATACCTGTTGACCCCAAACTCTTAAGGGGTGCATGCTCTGAAATAGGGTACAGCCATCCACATGCATAAAAGCAAAGAAAGCATAGTCCTCAGAATTTTAATTTTTAATTTCAGAATTTGTTTACAGAGAAGGTGGAGGGGGAAGGAGGAGGAAGAGAGGGAGAGATATTTCTAATAAAACTCAAAAAAAACTACCCATCCCCTCATGAGCAAATGCCCAGCCAAAGAGGCTTGGCCTGAAGTAGAGCAACTGAGACCAGAAAACTTGCCACAAATCTAAGGCACCCACTGGTAGGGAAACACAAGAAAAGAGTTAGGCGGGTCCCAGAGAGCTATGCAGGAGAGACTTAAAATTCAAAATGCACCATTTAAATATTCCACAAAGATGGGAATACAGCTGTCTTACCACTATGGAAAGCTGTGTGGAGGACCCTCAAATTACGAAAATTTTATCTATATGACCCAGCAATTCCATTCTTAGGAATCTGCCCAGAGGGCACAAAATCATTCATCGAAAGGAAGTCTACACTCCTGTGTTCATTGCAGCACTGTTTACAATAGCTAAGATATAGAAACAGCCTAAATGTCCAAAAACACATGAGTGGATCAAGAAGATGTGATATAGATATGCAATGGAATACTACTCAGCAATCAAAAATATAAACTGATGCTATTTGTAGCAAATGGATGGAGCTGGAAGGGATTATGCTCAGTGAAATAAGTCAGAAGGAAAAAAGAAAAATACTGAATGGTTTCACTTATAAGAGGAATAGTGAATGTTGAAGACTGTTTCTATACTAGCTACTTGCTAGTTTAGATTTTCCAGAAGATTTAAATTTAAGGGGTAGTGATGTGCTGATACTGAGGTGCCAAGCAGTGGTTAATATTCTTCATCCACCAAGATATAATAAT